ATGTGGTTTTTTGTGGCGGCCAAGGCAAAGCTACTTGTAAGAGGCGAGGGTCTTGTGGAACCTGCCGCAGGCACGAGCACCTTTGTGCAGGGAGATGACGAGGACGACAAGGACTGTGTGCACCTCGCGGACGGGGGCTTAGACAAGACCCTTGAGAAGAACAAAACGCAGGAGGTTTGAGCCGCAAGGAGTATGGCAAGGGCGCAGGTGAACCAGCTGAGGCTACGGACTTGATGCCGCAAGTGTAGAACGGTGGGCCACTGGGCTCGCAAGTGCCGCCTGAGACAGGAGAAACCAGTCACACAATGGGAGCGCCACGGCTTCCAGTGTAAACGGTTTGCGCGCCGCAAAGTTTCCTTTGCCAGGTTTGGAAATCGCAGCATCAGGATTTCTGGCGCCAAGAGTTTTCACATGGTCTGAGGGCCCGGGAGGATCGACTGCCGGAACATCGTCAACACACTGGAGCTTGCCGGATCAACAGCAAAGCAGCACATGCTAAAGTATGCAAAAGAGGTTTGATTGGCACATCCGCACTTGAGCGGTTGGAGACCCAGAGCAAGGATAGTCGGCGGTGATGCCCAAGTGCAGGAGTAGGATTGCTGACCCAGCCTCGGTGATGAGCGCCCTGCTGCAAAAATGAGGAGGCTTTCAGCAACCCCCAGCAACCCTGATGTTGACATGCTCAAGGTTTTGCGGCCGTACGGCACGCTGGCTGCGGAGAAATCAACTACGGCGCCACTCAAAACGGAAAGCGAACGCATTCACCCCAAGAGGCAACATCTATTTTGACATCAAAGCCAATTCAATTTCTGACTGCAAGTAAACGTTAATTTCTAAGGACAGTTCCAAGCAGAATTTCTGTTAAAAGAGAGTTTAAATGAAATTTAAAGGAACATGTGTTCAACATGTTCGGGACCGCTAGCTTCTTTCCTTATGAATGCTTCATAAAATAAATAACAAGTGCTACCCAACTTCCATTTCACATAAAGATGCATTTACTACGGACGGAATCGACCCCGTTTTTGAATCAGTTGAATTGAGTTAGGGGCTATTTGAGAGGTCCCGAAATTGTGTTTTCTTGGTTTACTAGCCTTAGCCCTACCATAGTCAGAAAACACCGTCAAAGACTGTCTTCTGTAGCGTTGTTTCTGTTTATCTTCTGTAGCGTAAAAGACTGTCTTCTGACACCATCAGCCGCTCCTTAAATTTCATTGTGAATTTGAATTGGGTTTTTCGGGACTGAATGAGGAAATACTTCATCAGAACCTTATTGCAGATTGCATATTACACTTTAGCTCTAAACGGAGATCCTATCCCAATAATTCTTGACAATGAAGCTGGACTTTAAGCATAGCTTGATAAGGAATGAATCCAATCACAACTTCTTGTGTTGAAAAGAATTTGAATTAGAGTGATTCCATCAATGAACGCTTAAACGAGCATGCACGTGCGAGGCTGCGCCCGCAAAAAATGATAATTCTAACCAACCCCAGGTTTCGAACGAGCAGATGCAGAGGATGGGTTTGGTTGTTTCTTTTGGGTTGGTTTTTGATGACAAACGCAGCCCTCCATGGCGTCCCCGTCTGTATCCTTTAGATAAAGTCCAGACATCGAAAGACCGGAGATGACTGGCAAGGCCCGGAGCGCTGGGTGGGGATGGGTGGGGATTGTTTCCACTTCTTTCCACATGGATCTGTTTGCAGCCACGCACATCAACATTTTAAGCTGGCCCTTAGTCCGATAGCTGTGCTCTCGCGTTCGCACCTGTTTGCTGTTTGGAGCAACTGCGATGGCTGTACCGTGAATTTCGACATCAAGTCATTCCATGCGGCTTTGAGCCCCGTAGCAATGCCTCAAGTTTGGCAGTGCATGCTAGGGATGTGAGGAACTCATTGTTGTTTTTTGGGAATGAATAAGCTGAAAAGTCTATACAAGTTGGCGCTTGCCTTCCGGAAGAGTTTCGTATGCTCTTGAAATAGTTCTCTCCTTCTTCGAGGTCTTGTTCGCAAATAGGCTCAGAAGCGACGCAAGTGCAACCTAGAGCACAGCTCCGAATGGGTCTCTCAGGAAGGTTCCGAGTTGACTGGTAAATCCTTGCAAATCCTTGATACTTTTCTGTAAATGCTTTTCCGCTTTGCCTTTCTCGTGAAGGACTGGGCCACGGGCTTGGTGTTGGTGCGGCTGCTGTCGGCGCTGAAGCGACGGGCCGCGGCGGCGGAGGACTTCGACGTGGCCGCGCAGCTGAAGCGCCGCCAGTGCGGCGCGGAGGCGGCGCTGGGCGCCGAAGAGCGCCGCGCCGTGCAGCGCCTCGGGCGCGAAGCGGAAGCGGAAGGAAAGGCGATAAAGGGAGAAAAGGGGAGAAAAAGGAAAAAAGGGAAAAAAAACAGAAGGAGGAAAGATGGAAGGGGGCAGAAAGCGGACGAGAAGGGTTTGTAATGGATCGCGATTTGTTCACCCCGGATGGAGAGCTGGGAAGGAGATGAGGGCATGGAGGAAGCATCCTCACTCTTGTTCTCTTTTCCGCGAGCCCCAGATAGCCTCAGGGCCCTGCAAGCTCCGAAGCTGGCCGCCATCGAGCAGCTTCAGGATCGCAAGCGCAAAGCAGTGGAGATGGAAGACTACGAGCGCCTTGGAGCCCATCGGAACGTTCGTTCGCCCAGGCTTCTTGTTTGTTTCTTGCGGGAGTATCCGACACGTAGCTTTGAGACACATCCGATTCCTACACGACAAGCACGACGAATTCAAATCGAGGCTGGCTGGTCAGCTGAAACGCGACGCAGAGGCATTAGCAGCATCCTCAGCATCCTGAAGGCAAGTTGCCAACATGTTGCGTCAGTGTGAAGGAAGCCGAGCTCCAGTCCGCAGATGAGGCGGACCGCGAAGGGCGGCATGCAAACCGGAGTCAAACTGCCAAGCGACATGCAGGCTGCGCTGCAAAATGCAGCAGCGCAGCAGGCTTTGCAGTTTGCCTCTGCGACTCTTGGCAGAAAACCCCCATTTAATCATGCATTAAATGCTTTTGTTGTTTGTTTAAAGTGTGCGCTTGATAGGAACAAGCATCGCCGGAAGATGCTGAAAGCTGCGGGCGTGGAGGCTCTTCGCAGTCTGAATTGTGCAGACGTGTGGGAGGAAGTTGTAGCGAGCCTTTCCGAACCTGAGATGCAGTTTAGTTCATTCGATCGAAGCTTCAGCCGGTGCTTGCCAGCCATTCCCGCCTCAGGAGACAGACGTCAAGTCCGAAAAGGGCTGCCGCGGCAAAGTGCAGGTTCAACATGAGCCCAGCTTTATATATGTGTGTGTCACAAATGTGTCCCATGCAGCTTGGTTCAAAGCACCTTTCATTGCTCGTTGAGTAGTCCACAAAGATGGAGATGGCCCCGCTCTTGGTTCAAGACCACTTAGGCTCAGGAAACCCTGTTTGTTCAGGTGAGCTCTGATAATTCCTGGATCCTGGGTATGCAGATGCACGCTGCTTTGCGCGAAATGGTGCTTGATTCTGCTGCGCTTTTGCTCTGAAGCCAGAACCAAAGCTGAGCCGAAGGCGGCGCCGGAGTGCAAAGCTTTCCGCACCCGGCACCGTGCGGACGTGGCCTTCATCGTGACTATGGGCGGGCGAATCATTCAAATGTCATGGGCTCAGTTTGAAATTTGTCAAGCGCGAATCAAAATGCAAGTTGCTCACAGGCAGTCTGGTTTCGCAATGCTTGAGTCCGCCTATGCCCGCAGCCTCAGGGAGCAGAGAGATGCTGCAAGTTGTGGCTGTGGCAGTAAACACAAGGTTCAAGTGGCATATGTGGCAAACTAGTTGAATAATCACGACCCCTTGACCCCCAAAGAGGTACCCCAGAAGGGTGTGCGTGTATGTGATGTTGGAGGCCCCGTTGATAGCACTATCCCATCCAGTTCCGCATCGTCAGTTACTGCCAGGCCCGGGACACCCGGGAAAGCACCCTCCGACTTGCCACCCAATTTTCCGAGGTGTGCAACAACGCCATCGACGGCTTGGGCACACTCCCGTTCGGAGACGTGGTCTTGACCTGGAAACGGGTCGGACCATCTGGCAAGGCTGCAGCTTTAGCGCAGCTCGGGGCGTGCGCCATCGTGGACGACAACAACTCCGTCCTCAAGGAGTGCCGCACCGCAGGAGCCCTTGGCGTAGGTGTCGATCGGCGAGACGCAAACCGAGCGCTCTACGACGTGCTGAACGAGCTCCACGAATACCTCGCTCAGCACCGACGCCTTCTCCGCCCTGCCAGGGTACTCGAGCAAAACGAGTATCTCGAGGAGGTTGGCCGCCGCCCGCAATCTGCAAGGGGCGGCCGAGGACTTTTTCGTTGACCTGGCACTGCCGGAGGCTGCAGCTTAAGCGCAGCAAGTGCACCGGTTTCCAACACCGGTTGTAACAAAAGTTTTCCAAAGGCCGCAGCTTAAAGCGCGGTGTGTCAGCATACGTGAGCCTGACCTCGTGTGAAAGGTGCATCCGACATGGCATCAGGCATTTCCCCACCTTCGGATGATAGGTCAAGGTCAACCCCTTGGGGGGAATCTAATGAGGAAGACCCTGAACTAGGTGATATTTCGGTACCCGCAATGTCCGTAGTTCCCGTAGGTTCCAGGGCATCCTCATCAAGAGAGAATCGCGGTCGCGATCGCAACGCGACTCCTCCCCGTAGGACTCCCATTGTAGAGGAGCCTGATTCAGACTCTACAGCAACTCCCCTTGTGTATAGCCCTCAAGTGCCAGCACCCGACCCATGTAATAACATGAGTGCTGCCGCGTTTGGCATTGCAACGTGCGCATCAAGCTTCGCTCATTGCTGATCAGGCTGCCAATGTTGCCCTTCACGAGCATCGAGCCGCGGACCAGGCCAGACAAAGGCTAGGGGAGGTTGCCGCTGTTGCGCAACAAAGGGAGCAGACCTTTAGACAACAGGCAACTGAACTGACATACCAAGCCCAGCAAGCAGTCGAACGAGCCCATGCTCAGACAGCATTAGCTGAACAAGCTGCACAGCATTCTCAACAGGAAGCTCAAGGCCATGTTCAACAGGTGAGGCAGGAAGCCGAAGGCCATGTCCATCTGTTAAGACAGGAAGCCGTAAGCCATGTTGAGCGTGCGAGGCATGAAGCACAACAAACAAGGTCGGCCGCAGAAGCCGAAGTCGAGGTTGAGGAAGGAGGCTATTCAAGAAATTTCCTCACGGGAACAGAAGATCCTCCAGCAAAGCAAAGTGATAGATACATTAGGGAGTGAGAACCTTTTGTTGTCGCAACGCCTTGCTGACCTAGAAAGGGCTGTCGCATCCATGGCACAAAATGTTCCGGTTCCTCCGGATGAAAGTCATGAAAGTCAACATCCTACGGATCCCAGGTCATCGGGGCTAAATGACGTTGGGCGTGACCTTCAGGTTGGATCACAGGCTCCCCAAGTTCAAGGGCCGAGTGATGCCACACGTGAGCAGTGTCCCCCGAAGGATGAAGGTAGCGCCACGTGCCCCTGTTGGTTTCCCAAAATCCTTCGCTCCCCCACAGCCCGACATCAAGTCAGATGCCAAGCGTGTGCAAATCCAGGATGGTGACCCACGTCCACAACCACAAGGACCACCGGACGTCGCTCGGACTCAGGATGTAAGGGGACCTGTAGACTCACAGGCACAAATGTCCTCTTTAACTGAGCTGGTCCATCAACTTTCAAAGTTAGTTGAGGCCCAGGTAGGGGTATCAGGGGCTTCGCCCCCGATCGCATCGGCTCAGGCACCCCCGCCTTCCGTAGCTGTCCAGCACACAACTGCTATCCCCACGCTTAGGCTAACAAGTGCAAGTGCAAGTCAAGTGCCTCAATTCCCATCCTCCCCACTCGCACCTTCGGAGGCAAGCACCGACACATCCTCAGAATCCGGTGACGAGGGTAACACTCCCTCATGCCGAGTCTGTGGTGGCCCGCATGATGATACCGCCTGCCCCTCCCTTTCCATGAATGGGGGGCAGGGACAAGGTACTCAAGCAGCAGATGCAAGTGGTGGGGATGCTGCTACAAGCGCATCAGATCCGGCCTCACATGAGGAAACCGTGGTTCGCATAAAGGACCTAAAGGATTTAGTGCTTCCGCTTCCGCCAGAGAACGCCGCCAGGCGCGTGGACATGTGAATCAAGTCCTCATGGCCATTGGACGAGACGACCGGTGACGAGCTCTATCTCTGGGCTCAGGATTGCCTGACCTCATCCGAGGAACAACTCAGGGCAGATAAACGTTTCCCACGCACAACCCGCGAGATAGCCGCCAAGCTGTTGAAGACCTGTCGCAAAGGCAAGTTTGGGTTGTTGTTCCAAAACATGGTGGAGCACGAACGGAACACCGCAGGTACAATGCCCAATGGGCGCGTGATGTTGCGTTCGATCTTCAAGCACTTTCAACTGGAGCGTGATCTTGCCGGCCAATCAGTAGCGGACATAGAGGCGTTCCGTGAGAAGTACAACTATATTCTCCGTGCAATACCTCTTGATGAGCTTTGCAAGGAAAGACCGCTTTTCAATCATCTCATTGACGAGTTTGAGAAGTGCCAAGTAATGAAGCATCGCGTTGAGAAGGCCCGTGAGTCCGCCCATGATAGTCACCGCCGCACCTGTGCATGGCTTTGGGCAAAGGCTGACCTGGCCATCAAGCTTGCCCAGCAAAAACGCAACCGTGATGAGTGATGTTAAGCTCAAACCGGCTGTTCGTGGCACGGGCAAGGAAGCAGCTACCAGCGCTTTGCCAGCAGAGACTAAGAAGGAGAAGAAGAAGAACAAGAAAGGCGAGAAGAAGGGGGTCAAGGGCAGGATAAAGGCGGCACCCCAGCTGCTCCTGCGCCTAAAGGGAAAGGTCCTTTGAACCCCAAGCCTCCTCCTCCTCCGAAGTCCCAAAATGCAAACAAGGGAGACACTACCCCTTCTAAGCTCACACCGAGGTCGAAGGCTGTGTCCAAGACAGCGAAGATGTCGGCCGCTGAAAAGGCAAAAGTTCCGTGTATGTTCTATGCCTATGATGCGTGTAGGGCCAAGTCCTGCGCCTTCCTCCACTCACCGACCGAGAAGTACACTGGGCCGCCTCCACGGGCCCTCGGTAAGGCGAAATCTCCGGCCGCTGTTGCCGCCGTAGTCCCAGCAGTCCCAAGTGTCCCCGCCAGGAACAATAGCATCAGCTGGCTTTGGGACACCGCTGCAGGTTGCCACCTCATCGGTAAGCAGGCTTTGAACAGCACCATGATGCATTGCGTACGCAAGACCAACACACCGGTAGGCTTTAAACAAGGAGATAAATCTCTTGCATTTGAGGACTCCCGTGTGATCCCACCTGACAAGCAGGTTTACGTTTTGAACGAATGTCCGCCCGCTCAATCAATTGGCAAGACCGTCATCGATCGAGGTTACCTCTTCATCTGGGACCCCAGAGAGAACGTTCCTTATTTTGTGCCTCCTTCTGAGATTGGTAAGTGCAAGCTTCGGGTTCCTCGCCGTTCTTCGACCATCAATGTCGTTGGTTCTCCTGTACAAGTCGAGGATGATGCAGTGTCCTTGTCCGATGATGATTCCTTCATCATTGATCCATGCCAGGATTTTCCATCACCTCCCCAAGTGCCAGAAGAGGAAAAGGAGCAGCTCAATGCGCTCATTGATGATGTGGTTCAAGAGAGTAAGGTTGCAAGCTTTACGCGCAACGAGAAGCCAGCCATGCCAGCTCCGGAGGAAAGGCCCCGCGGATTCGCCGCCAGTGCCACCACCTGTTGGAGCACCTCCTGTGCCCCCACCAGCGGTGCCCGAACATCCTGATGACGAGCGCAGGCTTGCGATTTTGCAGAAGGTGGCGAGCTTCGTGATGAACCTCGGCTTCGGGCCGAAGCCAGTTCACCGGAACACCAACGGACTCACTTTCCCAAGAATCCCTTCTGCAAGATTTGCAACATCGCTAAGAACACCTCACTACCAGCAGCTCGCTACTGATAGCGTGATCTTGGCGAAAGGCGATGAACACGTTGGCATCGGCATAGGCGGAATAAAATCCCACCATGTCATCAGGGATGTGTTTTCCGGCGCAAGGGTCGCATACCCGGTCTCTAAGAGAGACATTCCGTCGCACGCAAGGAATCTCAGGCATTTCATTGGACTCAGAGCCAACGAACTCGCTCCACACTGTCTCATAAAAATGGACGAAGCTGGAGAGTTGCAGGGAGCGGCCGAGGAAGTAGGGATGATCCTCGAAACTTCGTTGCCGAATCGCTGGCCACACAACTCCGAGCTCGAGCGAGATGTCCGGGAGGAGAAGGAGTGTTGCAGGAGCATACACCACTCTCGATGTCTTTCGACCGACCGTCCACGTTCGATCCGACAAAGACGCAATGGGAAGCACTCACCAAGGAGAAGTTCGACGGCGTCCGCTGTTGCTTCGGACAGCTTGTTTGGTATCGCCTAAAGTCAGCTGGAAAGAGAACCCTAGAACCTAACATGGCCCCAGGCTTGTTCATGGGTTGGCGTATCGATCCAGGGATGCGATATCGAAGGGTGCTAAAAATTATGGACTACCAAAGTTTCAGGACCAATGGAAATGTTACTGTCCATGACGTGCTCGAACCTGAGTTGTTCGTCGAGGAAGGCGATCCTGTTTTCCCGATCGCGGCCGCTGCCGATCGAGCCCTGCGAACAGGCGATGGCGAGGTTCCTGAGTATGCCATCAGAGATGTTCCTTTCATCCCTGAAGGCATCCCTGCCCCGTCAACTCCGTCAGGCTTTAAGTCACGAAGTGTGTACATCACCATTGAACGGATTATAAAGTTCAAGGCGACCCCTGGATGCAAGGCCTGCGCCGGCCATGCTAGTTCTAGGCATCACACTGACGAATGCCGCAAAAGGTTTGCAGAGCTAGTTGAAAGTGAAAAGGAAGAAGCGAAGGCCGAAAAGGCCGCAAGTGAGGAGGCCACCAAACCAAGTAAGGGTGCACGTGAGGCAGCTGCTATACGCGCTGCAAAGGCCGCCCCCCTAGAAACCCCAGAAGCCCCAGAGGTTGAGGCACCTGAGGAGGGAGACCCCGATATCGTCCGTGCCTTGCTTGGAGAGCCCGCCTCTTCTCGGCCCAGTGTTCCGCATACCGACGCTGTCCCCGCATCAACCAAGAAGGATAAATGGGTTTATAAGCCTAGTGGTAACGTGTTAATCCGAGTGCATCATCAGCCTAGGATTAAACTTGTCACTCCCAAGGATGTCGGTGACTGTCCCGTGTCAGTGTGCAGAATCACACCCGGTAGGACCACTCGCGTTGTGTCCCAGCAAGATGGTAGCAAGGAAGATATCAGGGATGGTTGGTCAGGCAGATTCTCAGCACATCGAGAACTCCCTGCGTTCTGGACTGGCATAACCATTTTTAGGTTATATAGTGATTTCGAGCATTCGGCTGCAGCTTTAAGCGCAGTAGGGGGGCTCAGTCCTCACGAGGGTAACATCCCAGTCAGCTCAGGAGCAGCCGTTACCGTGTCAACCGCTTCCAGCACAACACTTGCTGAGACCACGAAAGAAAAGCCGTCCGTTTTCGGTAACCCGTGCCAGCCTCCAATCACCGTTGGCAATAAGCGTGCTCGCAAGCGCCTAGCGCATGATGCTGTTGGCCCGATGTTTGAGTTTGCTTGTTCACCAATTCCTCAATGGGTAATGTGTTCAAGGATCTCAACATTCCACATGTCCGATTAGCAAAGGAGTACATTGACTTAGAGTCAGCCGTTGCGGATGAGCAGCTCGCGTACCAAATCTCGCAGTGCGTCCAACCCAACTTGTGGGCAGCCATTCCATGTGTCTCAGGATCGCCCTGGCAGAGGCTGAGCCTCCACAGGTTAGGTAAGCCGTTCAAGAAAAAGCTAGGGGAAAAAGTCAAACAATCCAAAGTGATGTTTTCAAAGTTTGCGTTGCACGCCGAGCATGTTTTGAAGGCCGGTGGATCAGTCACTTTCGAGTGGCCACGTGACTGCGAGGGCTGGCAGAGGCCAGATGTAGCCGAGTTCTTCGAACGCCACAAGGACGTGTTCCACGGTGGTTCGTTCCACGGCTGTGCTGTCGGCTTGACGGATGAGAATGGTTCACCCATCAGGAAGCCTTGGCACATCAAGACTACATCAAAGGCCCTTGCCGAAGCATTCGCTGACCGCCAGTGTCCACACACAAAGTCCGAAAAACATACTCCAGCGGCAGGGAGCCGAACCTCCCGCACTGCGTTCTACCCTGAGCAAATGTGTGGTTTGATCGCCAAGGCGTTGTATCCCAAAGTGTGTAGGACTCCGGTTCAAGCAATGCCTGTTGTTCCAGTCACTCAGCAGACGGAGCATCGTGTTAAGGAGCAATCCCTAAAGTACGAATCTCCTCTTTCCGGAGCGGGTGACTTCACCCTCCTCGTTGAATCAGACTCTAAGACAAAAGAGATCGTCGAGGAACTGCTGATGTCCAAGGTCTACTCGCTAGTGCTGTCGGCATGCCCGCCAAGGCTGTCGAAACAGAAGCACATGCAATGGTCACCAAACTCCTGTCCCGTGCCGAGATGCTTGCATCTCCTGAAGCATTAGAGGCAATCAAGCAGGAGGCGACCGGACTTCAAGACGCAGGAGTATGGGATTGTTCAACTGTCCGGGAAAAGGCTGAGGTCGCAGCAGCGCGGCAGTCTGGGATCAAGGTGCACTTTGGTCAGCTCATGACGATCGCCAGCATCAAGTTCTATGAGCTTGCGAAGCACCTCCAAAAGGTAAAGGGGCGCATCGCGTTCAGGGGAGACTGTGCAAAAGATGAAGCCGGCGCACCCGCGGTGTACCAGGAACTGGGGGCCAACCCCACCTCGGTACAAGGCCTAAACGCCCGTCTGGCGTATGGGTGTATCCCAGGACACACGGTCACCACCGCTGACGCGGTAAAAGCCTATGTCCAGGCACAGTTTCAGACGTGGGTTGAACTCCCGCCTGAGCTGCGGCCAAAGGAATGGGGTTCCAAGTTTGTGAAACGCGTGGTCTTGTTGATTCGTGCCCTAAATGGTCACCCTGACGCAGGAGGTCTGTGGGAGGCACACCTTAAGAAACTGCTTAAGCAGCTGGGAGGGGAAGAAATCCCAGAGTTTCCTGGAAACTTTTTCTTTAAAGGGGTAGGCCTTATGCTCTCGATTTACGTCGATGACTTGACCCTTTCGGGTCCCGCAGATGCACATGAAGCCTTTTGGGAAAAGCTTACAAAATTGATAAATGTAGAGCCTCCCGAGCCGATCTTTCGGGTGCTCGGGCGTAATCATGTCTTTATAGACGCTCCCGCAGAGTCTCAAGAGCATGATCTGAATGCAGCTGTAAGCGCATTAAAGGGTGCCGTTGCCTTTCACATGAATGACTATGCCCGTCAAACTGTAGAACTGTTTTGTTCTATAACTGGCACTCAGCCCGAGAAGCTCCGGAAGGTAACTACTCCGTTCTGTCCAGACGGATCACTTCCTCCTGAAGATGATCAGTCAGCTGGTGAGCTAGCCCCAGACGCGCGCAAACTCCTCATGAAGGCCTTATGGCTGGGACGACTAGCGCGTCCTGACATCATCAAGCCCATAGGTGACCTAGCAACCGCCGTGCAGAAGTGGTCTCGCAACCATGATAGGCAACTTGCCCGCCTTATCGCGTACATCCACTCGACTACGCACTACCGGTTGGCAGGAGTCATAAAGGACAACCCGCAAGATCTTCACCTCGCTCTGTATGCGGATGCCGACTATGCTGGAGAAAGGGATGCTGGAGAAAGGGATGCGAAGTCCACGTCCGGTGGCTTCCTGGTCCTCAAAGGACCAAACACCCATTTTCCTTTAGCGTGGTTGAGCAAACGACAGACATCAGTGTCGAGATCCACCACCGAAGCCGAGGTCGTTTCGCTCACTTTCTCCTTGTATCAAGAGGGTCTTCCCTCCTTGACCTTGTGGGAACGTCTGCTTGGACGCCCGGTTGAGCTGGTGCTGCACGAAGATAACCAAGCCACTATCCTCGTTGCCAAGAAAGGTTACTCCCCAAAAATGCGGCGCATACAGCGCACTCATAAGTGAACTTGTGCGCACTTGCTGAGCAACTTGAACCCGGCACGGGTGTAGTAATCAAGTATGTAGCTACTGATCTCCAGGCAGCCGATATCTTTACGAAGGCACTGCAGCCCTTGAAGTGGGACCACGCACTAAAGCTTTTAGGCATCCGAACCAATTTGCCTGAAAAGCTGAAAGATGTCCGGCCTGAGATGCCCAAGCAGTAACAAAAGTGCAAAATCATAGGTAAGCCCTCCTTATGGTCTGGTAAAGGACCTTGCATCACATAGGTCGCAGCTCAAGCGCGACTGTGCAATACAAGTCTCTTAGTGAGCACGGGGAGGGGGGAGTTGAATAATCACGGCCCCTTGACCCCCAAACAGGTACCCCAGAAGGGTGTGCATGTATGTGATGTTGGAGGCCCCGTTGATAGCAAGAACATGCTGAATGGCAATGCCCATTTGGCTCAAGATGCCCAGAAAATCAAATCCAGGGTTTGCGCTCGCCTACCGGACTGGGGTTAATAAGGGTCCCGGTTTCTGGTTCGCTGTGTTTCTTTCCCTGTTGAGTAAACTGTGGCAGAATGTTAATTACACCCGCTTTGATGAAAGTCGCCGCTATTGTAAAAAAATGCAATTCAGGATCCTGAGACTGTTTTAGGGGTCCGCTATTGTTGCAAGTTGTTTTCCCCTCCCCAAAAAAACCAAAAAAAAAGGTACAGGCTGGTTTGTTTTCAACTCTCTGGTCTGGGCAGGCTCAGGTCGGGCTCAAGCTAGACTAAGCCTTAGCTGGAGTTGAGCTGAAGGCTGGTTCTGAGCTAGCCTGAGGTCTAGGAAATCCATTTTGCAAGTTGTGCCCAAACCATCAAATTTATGACAACATCTTTACAAAAAAAGCAAGGTGAATCAATCACACAAAGGGGGTTGCCCACAACCAACCCTGATCCTCTTTAGTGTGATTGTTTTGGGGTCTTCTTTAGTGTTCAACTGGTTTTGGGAGCAAACCTCAAAAGGAAGCTCTACCAATACTAAATCAACTTGAAACTCAGTTCCAAATCTCAAAAGGAAGCTCCAGCAATACTAAATCAAATGGAAACTCAGTTCCAAAATCTCAAAAGGAAGCACCAGCAATACTAAATCAAATGGAAACTCAGTTCCAAATCTCAACAGGAAGCTCCGGCAATACTAAATCAATTGGCAACTCAGTTCCAAATCTCAAAAAGGAAGCTCCAAGCAATACTAAATCAAATGGAAACTCAGTTCCAGATCTCAAAAGGAAGCTCCAGCAGTACTAAATCAAATGAAACTCAAGTCTACCAATACTAAATCAATTTAAAGGTCCCACCCAGACCGCCAAGGTTTTCCTAAACAGGGTCCCGCTGACTGGTTCCATTATTCAGGGGGGGGATCACATTAAAGCAGGTCCAACATTACCTAGATGCAGGCACAGCCCAACAACGCGGCAAACATCATGATGAAGAACTTGCTGGATTTGTGCATTGGCGTTCTTGTCTTCTTCTTGTTTGGCTACTCCATCGCTTATGGGGACGCCTACGATGTCGGCTGCGCCGATGCAGGCGGGATGGCGGGATGGCGGGATGGCGTGATGGCGGGATGGCGGGACGGGAGCGGGCCCCAGCTGGCGTCGCAGGCGTGGATGTCTCCCACTGGTTTATCTCCTTCTCGTATGCGACCACGGCGGCCACCATTAATAGTGGGGCCAGACCCCTGGGTCTCAGAGATTCTCAGAGGCTTGAGGCTTGAAGACTTGAGACCGCTATTCAAAGAGAGAGAGAGAGAGAGAGAGAGAGAGAGAGAGAAGAAGAAGACAGGCCAAGCTCGCACCTAGGCGCTGGCTGGCAGAGTGGCCTTTTTCCCTTACCTGCTGCTGTCGTCAGTTATGACAGGCAGGGACGAAGAAATGAAGAAATGACGGAACGAACATGGTGTTCCAAAAGTGTTCAATGCATTGCCGGTTGCAGAGCCCAGGCCTTGTGTACCCAGTCTCCGCACGCTTGGTGTGGGGTGATGGCTGGCTGGCACAGATCGGTTTTGTGGACTTCGCAGGCACGAGTCGTAACTCCTCGGACCCCATGCACCCCACTCCCCGCAGTCTCCCCGTAGTCTCCGTGTAGTCTCCGCGTAGCGTTCCGCGGCACGGCGGAGGCTCTGCAACTGTGCATCTGGTGGGCGCTGTGAGCGCTTTGGCCAGGCCCTCAGGGCATGCGGCATGGCTCAGCGACGGTGGCTACGGATTCTTTCTTCTTTCCCGCCGTTGCATGCCTCTTCTGCTCGTCGCTCTCTGTCAGGTGAGCACCTGCCTGGTGGGGCCACGCATTGGCCGCTTTGCCGAGTACCGCGCCTGGCGGAAGCCCTGGGCCTGGCTTGTCGCTGAGAAGCACGATGACAAATACTACCGGGTACCCGAGGAGCCTAGTAAAATATGGGAAAATAGCACAACATGTTGCAAAAATGCCAATTGCAAGAATGCACATGCCCATGCCCCAGCGCCTAGAAAGAACGACATTTCCAGCCTGTTCTCAAGGCCCCGTGCCAGGATCCAGTGGAGAAGAAAGTCCACGTCCCTTTCCGCCGATGTCGTCATCCGGTGCAGCTCCTGTTTGGCACCTTCTTGTTGTCGCCCGGCAGATCCATTGCAGAACAGTTCCTTTTGAACTCACTTCATACTTGCGCGTTGGCTCGGAGAGGCTTGTCGGCTTCCTCGCCTTCAACCCGGCATCGACTCTCTCCACCACGAACGGCCAAGACTTGGTGGTGGCCCATGCCTCTGCAACAACTCTCCTGGCTGCAGCTGGCGCTGGGATTGGAGGCCGTGACACCGTTGCAGCTCTCCAAACACGCTCGGTTTGACTCGGTACTCGGTTTGACTCGGTTTGCTTTGAGTCAGGAATGCTGTTCTCCATGGTGCGCACCCGGTCTTCCGTGGTGCGCGTCCCGGAGCTGACGAACGCGCTGATCGGGGGGCTTGTGGTCACCGGTCTGCGCTTGGAAAGACTGGATTTGGGGATATTTGGGGTAACTGAGCAAGTCAGATGGGCCAAGTTGGAGTCCAAAAGCCTAAGCGAGCTAGCTCGCTTCACGCGCTTCACGCGCTTCACGCATTCGCCCTCCGGACTCAGGCCAGCTGCGCGTGCTGTAGCGTGATTCCTTTGTCCGTGGCGCCGCTGGTCGGCTGCGTGGCGGCCCTTCTGACACTTCTTGTCGAGGAGCTTTTGGTGGCGCTGCAAGTGGATGATGCCGTGGGTGCTGCCCATGTCTCAGAGAATCTCTTCCACGGATAGAAGCCGCCATGTGTCCTTTCCAAAGAAATTGATTCTGGGTTTCTCCTACGCGCGGGGAAACCTGGATCAAAGATTATGCAAGCGTAGACCCCCAGTGGCAAGACTTGGTGTTTGAAGGGTGTCCGGAGAGTTCTCAGAAAGTTCCGCCAGCTAAGGGTTTGACAAGAGGCATTTGAACAGTTATTGCAGCCTTGTCGAATTAGCGTTGAGCTTGGCGGATGCTGTTTGTGAGAAAGACTGGCATAAGCCTTGTGTGAGGTTCCTTGGTTAGACCCCCCATGGCCCTGCACTTGCAAGGTCGCAGCGCATGGGCCTTCCGGAGTCTGGGGCGTGTTGTGTGTGAGCCTTTTCTCGGACGAGTTTTGTGGTGGGAACTCCACCTTCAAAGGCATTTTCTTTGGCGGTGGCAAAGCGGCTTGGGAACATCTGGGAGTTCAAATGCTGGGGGCGCTGGTTTTGTCCACTCTTGCCTTCTTCAGTACATACGTGGTGGTCATGCTGACAGACTGTGTGTTCGGCTTCCGCTGCTCGCGTGCCTGCGAGCTGATCGGGCTTGACTTCTGGGAGCACCACTTCGACGATGGCAGCCTGCACACGAACCGGGACAAGGCCAAGCTCTGGGAGCTCTCCCAGATGCGCTTGGACCTGTCGCGGCGCACGACGTCCTTGGACAACTTGGTGCCTCAGAAGTGGTGCAGGCGGCATCGAACCCGCGGCAAGGACGCCAGTGAGGCCACCACCGCTTCCGAGACTCCCCGGACTCCCCGAACGCCCCGGAGTCCCCAGGCCGAGATTCTGGTCCAGGAGGCCCAATCCACGGTGTTCCAATTGGAAGCGAAAGTGGCAGACTTGGAGCAGAAGCTCTCACTGCTGGCACTGGGGATGATGCGCGATGGGCAGACATCGTCGACAGATGTGTGTGGCACTCGTAAGATGACTTCGGAAGACTCTAAGGAGGAGCTCTGAGCTTGTGTCCAAGCCGCTTTGCTGTGCGAGTTTTGGTCCGCAGCGCCTAGCAGCCCATTAGTCACCCACTTGTGAGCAGCTTGGCGCTACCGTCCCAGCCCGTCTCCGGGGAAGTTTCTTCCAAATCCCTGAGAGTCAGAGGCATTGGAGGGCGAGCGCAGGAATTCAAAGTTACTGAGTTGATGTCTTCTCGTCGTATCGGGGACCCACTGCAATTTGAATCTGTTTGAAGACATCGGCTCAGTCAGGGTGATGGAGTCGCCCGGCTTCTCTCAGAAGAAGAGACAGTTTCGCTGAAGCCAAGCTACAAGAGCTTCGGGTTTGACGCCGCATGTGAGTGCGCTTAAAGTAGGCATGCGTCATTGATTTTCTTGGTGCTTGACGACCTCAACCTGCTCGACCTCGACGGGGGAGACATGCAGAATGTGCTGAACGGCCTGATATGGCCTCAGGCGTGAGCGTCACGCGGTGTCAACATAGCTTTTGCGAGTCATCCATTGAGAAAGGAAAGTGGGTTCAGATTTCTCGAAGGCGCAGACGAAACGACAGCAAACTCAGAATGCAAGAACCGTCCATAGCAAGAAGTTGAAAAGGCCGCGACAACTTTCCAAGCCGCAAAGGCCGCGAACAAAGCCGAAGCTGACGAAGACGGTATCGCGACAAGGGCGCTAGCCGAACCATGTTCTACACGCGCCTGGGTTAGTCCATACCCTCGACCAGCTTACTGCGAGAGGGAGTTGAGGGATTGGGATTCGGGGGGAGAGCCGCAGGGGCGTGGTGCATCCAATGACTGTGGGTTCGTTTTTGCTCGCAGGCCGGGTCGCGGAACAGGAAGTCAAAGATGCATAAGGCGCAGTTTGCGCCATAAGCCTAGGGTTTCTGCAACGCAATGGCGGCTGCCTTGTCGGGAACTGCGGCCGGCCCCGCGGTTCTGCGGCCGAAGACCATCTTCCCCTCTGCAGCACCCTCGGATGTCGGAAGCCTGTGGCCAGCTTCATATGTCCTGAGGCTCGCCGAAGGCGACTGGAAGCTCGAGACGAGAGCCAGGAAAAGGGTTGCGGCTCGCATCCGGCCTCCGCTTCGCGATGCGCCGTGCGCTAGGTGAAGGAGGCGCTTGGATTGGCCAACAGGCGCTTGGATCACCTGCCCATTCTCTTCAGTTTGTTCGTGGCCAGGTTCATGCTATATCCCTCTCAGAGGCATTTGGGCGGCGAACCAGGGCTGGCAAGTGCCCCAGTTCATGTCAGATCTTGGATTGTCGGATTCCAGATCTGTCCGATCTGTCCATTTTCACATGATTTGAGGCCTTGAGCCTTGACCGCGGGAGAATCTGCGTCAAAGAGAAGGTGTGTGAGGCACTCGCGGCACGGACGGCCATTGACGACCTCCCCCGGGACCACCTCGAGCTCGAGCCTCAGCATGCGCCGACCCGAGCCCAACGAGCCCAACGAGCCCAGGTGGGCACGACGCTGAGCCCTTGCCCCTTTGCACGCCATCAAAACTGCCTTTGCAGAGAGAGAGAGAGAGAGAGAGAGAGAGAGAGGGAGGGAGGGAGAGAGGGAGAGAGAGAATTGCTACCCTTGGCTGGGAAGGGCCAACATGTCGTGAATCTTGTTTAGGGCTCGCACGCCTTGGAACAGGGCTCCAGGCTAGACTCGATCGGGTTGAGCCTCGGGCGCAATGGCACGCCGCGGCTGGATGCCCATTCAAACCCTTCGAACCCCTTCGAACCCCTTCGAAACCTTCGGCCCTTTCTGTTTTTTCTAAGGCGATGCTCGCCCGGTGAAGGCACCGCCCAGGCTTTGCTTGCCCGGATCTCTCGTGCACCAGGCGATGTCCAAATGGGCTGTGCTGCAGTGGCTGGAGCCCGAAATCACGCTCGGGCGCACCTTCTGGCCAGAGGCCGTGTGTTTCATGTCGTGGCAGAATTTGGCACGGGCGAGGTGTTCAGTGCCTTCACAATGCTGCTTCCAGCACTTCATGGAAGCAACCTGGCAGCTGACCTAGCATCTGGCGCAGCCTTTCCGCAAGGCAGGGAGAGAAAGGTGTGCATTGTGAAGCATTGTGAAGCATGGAGTCCATGGAGCATCTGCCAGGGGTCTGGGTGCTCTTGTATGGCGCTATCTTCCACTGCCCGGTGAGCATGGCCTACCATTTGTCCAACGCCGTCCTGGAGGGGTTCCTCGGCACCGTGAAGGATTCGGCGAATTCAGCGGATTCGGCTTGCCGAGCCCGAGGACTGCTGGCCACGATGTTATGTTGACACCCTTCCGCACCGCTGATCTAACGGCTATTCATTTGTGCTCCTTGGACCGCATTTGCGTGACATGCACAAGAGATCTCAAGAGCCCAAGTTGTCACTTAGGTTGTATCGCTTTTGGATGGGCTGAATCTTACGGTGACATTCTCTACACGCTGGCCCTCACCGTGCTCAATTTGATTTGCCTGGGGCCCAGCCTCGCTATCGCTCAAAGTCACTTTGTGGCTTGAACGTGGAAGGCATTTTCGCGCTGCTTCACGATCTCGCTTCTGGAAGGCCGCAGTCAGCCGATGTCCGAGTTCGCGTTAGACCGAAGCGCAGGCGCGGCGGCCAGCATGAGGTGCATCGCGTAGCAGTTGCTGCAGGGAGCCCAGTTGATCGGGGTCACCGGGTCGCGTATGTCGCGTGATGCCACGTTTTGATGAGAGGTCTTCCTCTACACGCTGCCTGTGCTGCTGCGCGGAGACTGCTGGAATTATTTGGGCATTGCCGTGTCCGGAACTCGAGCTAGAGCGAGTCGGTGAATGTCGGTGAATGTCGGTGACTGTCGGTGAATGTCGGTGAGCCGGGAGGTCTTGGATCCTGGCGGCAGCCTTCCAGATGATCAGTCCCAAGATCGGAGGCGCTACGCAGCGCTACGCGTTCCAACGGAGCGAATGCGATCGAATCCTTCTCAAGGATGGGGACATGGACTTTTTCACATGATGCTTGTGCCATACTTCCATTTCTTGATGCATGGCCCACAGCTCAGCTGGATACTTCCCGAGTGCTCTTGTCTGCATCGCTGAAAGCCAAGGAGTTGCATCAGCCGGTCAATGAGCGTTGGCAAGGGGAGGGAGCCATGACGGCCATGACAAAGTGGCAATCTCATCCGCATGAGCCCCCTGCCCCTGCCTACTTTTTGATCGCCGCTAGTTCCATGATGTTTTCTGCGGCTCTGACTGCTTTTCCTGAGCTCCACTCGCACTGGTTGGCCAATCGGGGTCAAGAAACCGGACTTAGAAACTGCGGCAATGCAGTCGAGATAAAAGACCGCGAGTGAGCTGCTGGAGTTGCTCAGATGGAAGCGGACGATGCAGGCTCTTGCAAAACTTGCTAGGCCGCAAGTTGGAATTTCAGTGTGATGAAACTCGCCGCGGCATTGCTGCAAGACCGCCATTTGAGTCACTAGAGCCAGACTCGTGGCATGTCCAATACTCGTCATCCTCGCTGGGGCCTCGTTTCAATCAGCTGCCAAAAGCGATGCGTCGGCTGGAGGACAGTCGCCCTTTGCCGCCATCGATGCCTACTTGGCTGCTCAGGGGCTGCAAGAGCCAGGCACGCAGTCCAGCCGATAAGGTTGAGAGCGAGCGATTGGCAGCGAGCATGGAGTGAAGGCCAGAAGGCCAGGTCGACCCTTGCCGGGTTTTGCTAGGCACTCCCGGGTGCCGCCAGAGTCAGGCCGCTTCACATGGCACGCCACACTCCACGCATCTCCACGCTCTCCGGCAAGGCTTCCTTCCAAGGCCCGAAAGGCATGCGAGCGCGAAGGTCACTGCCGCAAAATCGGCCTGTCATGCCTCAGGCAGGCCACGGCCAGTGCGAGTCAGTGCGAGTCAGTGCGAGTCAGTGCGAGTCCGTGCGAGGTCGGTGTTTCTTGGCTGGCAGGCTTCGAGAGGCCCAAATACCCTCGGAGGTGACTTGGCCCTGGAGGATGCCCCCACTGACCCAGCCGAGGTCGGTGTCCAGCTCTGGCCTGAAGGTTTTTCAGATCCCACTTGTCGTGTGGCAGCTGAGGGCACGCATTCCCTTGTCTCCTCAGCAGCAAGAGGCTGTGATGGTGCCGCAGCGCCGGCCTGTGATCTGTGTTCCAACTCCGTCCGTGCGGCATGAGCTGCCAGGTTGGATCAACCACTGCTTGTTTTGGCCGGGCCGGGCAGCGGCAAGACGCACTTCCTCGCCCGAGCCCAAGACTGCAAGATCTGCAAGATATGCAAGATCTGCATGTTGTTCGAAAAGATGCTGCCTCAGGCAGCTCGAATCAGCCGAGCACTGGCTGAGCAAGTTCCAGCTGAGGCCCAGTTTAGAGCAGCTTGAGGCTGGAATGGAGGCTATGGCTTGTCAGGCTGTGGTTGCCGTGACCTACACGCGCAAAGCAGCGGAGGAGCTGGCGCAACGAGTGAAGCAAGCCGGACACGACGCTGCTGCCTCAGAGCTTCGAGTTCCATCGAGTTCCCTTAGTTTGGATTTGGTTTTCCGAGGTGTGGGTAAGCACGGTGCATGGCCTGGCCTTGAGGCCTGCGTAGGGCCTTGAAGGGCCTTGAAGGGCCTTGAAGGGCCTTGAAGGGCTTTGAGGCATGCGGCTTCTCAGGCTGCTGCGAGAGGCAGGGCGGGGGCCGTGCCAGGCGGCCTCAGACCAGGAGAAAGACAACAAGACGGAAGAGACGGAGAGAGAGAGAGAGAGAGAGAGAGAGAGAGAGAGAGAGAGACGGAGAGAAAGACGGAGAGAGAGGACCGGCGCGCAGCTGCCCGCACAATACTTCCCAACGTGGAGATCGCGGCGGCCGTGACGTGTTTCCGATTTCATGTCGTCCCAGTCGCCATTTCACATTTGTTTCGATCTCCAGGCCATGCTGGAGACGAGCGAGGCACCGATCCGAGCTGAGGCAGACGCCGGAAGCCTGGTCGGAGAATGTCGGATAGCGGAATGTGGAAAACGGCGTGGGAATGACATGAGGCTTCCCATGACGCAGTTGGCAAGTTGCTGGCAGTGGGAGCCTCGGTGTTTGTTGCTGTATGCGGATTGCCCACGTCGCAGGCCTTCGACCACATGCGAAGAGACACGCAGGCCCCAGCCAGCAGTTTCTGGACATTCTTGGGCCATTTTTTACTGCTTGACTCGGTTTATTTGTACATGTTTGTTTTCTGAGGCTTGTGTCCATTGCCGCTCTGTTCTGCTTGAGGTGTTTGCTGTGTTGTTTCTTGCTGTTTGGAGCGAATTCAATTGAAATAGGAAAGCAGGGAGCGATTTAGTTTGGCTGAGTTGGGTGTGTTGCTTCCAGACTCCGGTTGCCGGAGTTTCGAATTCTTGCAATTGCAGGCCTGGGAGCCGCTGGCCACTGCCCACCGGGCTTTTACCCAGGAAGGGCTACGCGGGGCTACGCGGGGCCACGGGCTACGCGTGTCCGTGTTGTCCGTGCATCGGAAACCTCGCGGCATTCCGCGTCGCAGCGTCGCAGGAGCTCCGGCGCCGCCGCCTGCTGGAACTGCCGGAGGTGATCTCAAGCGCCCAAAGGCCCCATTGAGCGGCATTGAGCCCATTTGAAGTTTTTGAGCCCCCGGCCCGGCCATTCCCAGGCTGTTGGACAGCGACGTGGGCAGCACCTGGGTGGGCCCCCAACGAGTTTTCACATCAGTTCAGTTGCCACAGGCGGCCAACTTCGTCCAGTTGCTCTTTGTGGATGAGTGGCAGGCGGAATCAGATGCGACAGAACTGCGTTGCGATCACAAATTGAGGACACTGATGCCGAACAGCAGCGCTTCCTAGCTCATCTTGCCCGTGGTGGCGTCACGGCTGTAGGCAAGTGTTTATTCATCTATGTCATTCTGATTCATTCTGTGTCTTAATGGGGTGCGTGGTAGCTCCAGGAGACGACGACCAACGAATTTATGCATGGCGTGACAGGGGCCCTTCACCACCAGAGGCGCTTGCTCGTCCCATCGCCCTTGCAAGCCCTTCGCTTTCTTGAGGCCTTCCAAACGCATTGGCCTGGAGCAAGCACCAAAACGCTTGGTGCAAACCACCGCTCCCTGCAAGGTCCTTAGTGCTTTCATCGTGCCTTCTGGCCGGTGCCTGATGTGAATGTTCGGAAGGCCACACTTGGTTGCAGCCTCCAAGCGCCTCATTTCTCACAACTGCCTTCGGGAGCAGAAAGACTTGTGGCCCAGAACTCAGATCAAAATGCCGTCGCCGCATTGGTTTAGATCCAGCGGTCAGGTCGGCACGAGAGCCCGCAACGGATACTGTGAAGCGCCTGGAGCACCATATGTTGTGCTTTGTGCACATGACATGAGCATCATGATGCGTCATGATGCATCATGCCACCGCTGCCGCGTGCCTGAGGTGCAAGTTGTGGCAAAGGAAAGCCTCAGGGCAGAGGCCCGCTGGGTTGCTGAAGAGATTCGGGGGCGCGCCGGTGCGCGGCTCGGACGTGCCGAGTCGAGCTCCCTCACTTTGGGGTTTGCTTAGGCCGGGAGAGTTCGACCTGGGGCGAGGCTCTCAGAGCTCTGCAGAGAACTCGAGCACGCGACTTCGCGCGAGCAACTTGAGGCGACTTCGCAATCCTCACCCGGACCAACGCTGCGGCAGAGGCAATCGCCAAGGCCGAAATGCGAACTGTGCGAACTACGCGAACTGGCTCCGAGTTTGCGAACCAGGCCATCGCCCAGGCCGGCATCCCAACCTCACGCAGAGGTGGGCCATATCAATCCATGCGGTGTGCACATAATGTGCCCAGGCGGAGCTGACATTCGAACCTCGCAGGCTCTGACTGAAGGCAAAAAAAGGGAATGATACGCAATGATCGGCTCTGAGGTGCTGGACTTGCTTGCATACTTGCGCTTGGTTGTGGACCCACATCACTCAGCGTGCCTGGCTCACTGTATGGCGAATCTTCATTTTGCGCAACATGCATCAACATACCCTGGAAGACCAATTTCCTCAAGGGACCTGTGCCATTTGAGGAAGGGTACCTGAGGTCATTCCTGCGAATCTACAACGTGCCGCGGCGCGGTTTGGGCAAGGTGCCACTTTGGTCTGAGCTGGGAACTTTCCGCAGATATTGGTCAGTCATACAATGCAGTCAATGCTTCAGAGTGCCGGAGTGCTTTCTCCAGGCAGCCCTGCGCTGCCTCCGCGAGCAATTCGGGGCTCCAAGCGCAGTTCCTGCAGAGTGGGCGCCTCGACTGAGTCGAGGGCCGCGGGCGAGCGGGGTGGCCGGAGGTCGCCTTTGCACGGCGCAGGCGCCTTGACGCAGGCGGGTGTGGGATATGTGGGATGTTTTGCGGTCGTGTTGACGCGCATGTTCCGCGTGTTCTGTTTTTCTCGGAGAACTGTTGGACAGAGAATCTGAGAAGCTCAGAGAGGCTCACAGACTTGAGGTCAGAGGTGCAGAGCCAGCAACAGGGTCCTTTGAGGGCGCCATGTCCCGGCTGCTCAAGGCGCAGATTCTCCCCGCATTCCTGGCCGCATCCGGCCACACCGACGCAGGCACCCTGGCTTGGTGCCAATGCCCGCGTGGCACAGGGCGCGCCTCAGGCCACGGAGCATCAGGTATGCGCAACGCATCAGGTTTGGGAAAGCTGTTTGCCGTCTTGCAAGCTGCCCGCCGCGTGGCCTCGGCCCATCGCTTGGCTTGCCGACTCGCTCGGCGCGTGGCCAGCATTGGCACCAGGCAGAGAAGGGAGCAGTCGATGTGCTACGTTTCGTCATGGCCCAGACCGGCCTTGGCAGCCCCCAGCATCAAATTGAGTGAAAGACAGAGAGAGAGAGAGAGAGAAGAAAAAAGACGCCTCAAAGCTATATGAATCTCGGTCCGAGGTGGTCACGAGACAGCGCAGGTGGCCTTGACTTAAGCGCCTTGAGCATATGGCACGTATTTCGAGGCAGTCCAGAGGCTGCTGGCAGCAGCTGAAAAACACACCATCGGAGCTGGGCTCTCAGATGGCTCTCAGATGGCTCCGGTTGGCATCTGGTTGGCATCCCAAATGGCCAGGCTTCGCGAAACGGAGCCGCATGCATTGTGCGACTCTTGCAAGAGATGGCCATTGCGGGAGGCGGCGCATTTGCACTATATTGAATTGGAGCCTCGGAGCCGCTGCTTGAATCTGAGAGCTGACCAGCCGAAGGCATCATGTCGGACAGCGCCGTTTCTGTCATGGCCCCGACTTTGACTGATGTATATGCATGCGTATGCATGTGGCGTCCGTGCGACGCGAGGTAAGCACCATCCATCAAGCCAAAGGACTGGAGTGGGACACCGTCTTCGTCCTGCAATGCAACGAGTCAGTGATGCCGTTGACCAGGTGTGCAACGCGTGCAACGCGTGCAACGCGTGCAACGCGTGCAACGAGTCATGTCATGATTTGTGTTGCTGTGCTCGGCAATCAAGATAGCCAGGCAGCCAGATGACAGCATTGAGGAAGAGCGACGGTAGCTGCGCCCAAATGGGAGGGGATCCAGGCAAAGTATTTTTGGGAAACGAGAAATTAGGCTGGCTTTCGCCAACAGCTAGCTTACCCATGAGTTTCAACGTGACGCTGAGCGCTTGGCTTCAAGCGCATTCCATAGTGGACTTCTCATGGAGCTATGAAGCGCAGCAGCAAAGCGAGCTCCTCGGCTGAGCCGTACCAGGATGACGTGGACGATGAGGAGTCGCCCCTTCTGAACGGGGTAGTGAAACCACAGTCCTGCATCGCCTCAATCAGTGATGGCTTTGGACTGGGTCCTTTCATGCAGCGCCTAGAGATGAACTTTGGCTACGAGTTGTTGGTGATGCTGTTTGTGGCTCAGCATCTCATGAAAGGCTTTGTGGGTGAATTCACGTCTCCCTCCATCTCCTACCTCTACGGAAGCTACAAAGTGTCTGGACCTCAGATGCAGGTGTACCGAGGTGTGACGCATCTGCCATGGGCAATGAAGCCAATGATTGGGCTCCTGAGCGACACTGTGCCCATCCTTGGGTACAACAAGGGGCCGTACATCCTGCTGGTGACTGTCCTGGGTGCAGCTGCCACTGCGTGCATCGGGGTGGTGTCCAAGGCACAGCTGAGTATCACGAGTTTGGTGCTGTGTTTGTTCCTCATCCAGCTGCAGCTGTCCACCACCGACCTGCTGACGGAGGCCAAGTACGCGCAGAAGATGCAGGCCAAGCCCAAGGAGGGCCCCGCGCTGATGTCCTACGTGTGGTTCGGCCTACAGCTGGGCGGTCTGGTGGCCACGCTGCTCATTGGGCCCATCCTGACGGCTTCAGGTCCCAAGCTGCCGTTCCTCGTGGCGCTGGTGCCCGGCACCGTGATCGTGGTGCCCGTGCTGCGGGGCTACATGCAGGAGCCGCGCCTCAGCGGCGACCAGGTCCAGCAAGCGCGGGCCGCCATGTTCCAGCAGAAGGAGGCCTGCGTCCTGTGCGTGCTCATGATGCTCAGCACCGTGATACTCACCCTGATTGGCACCTTGCTCCAAAATGTACGCACCAACGCCCTGGCTTCCGCCGCTGTGGCTGTGGTAATCCTCCTGGCCTTTAGCATCCTGCTACGCCCAGAGATCGCTAAGGTCAACGCCTTCTTCGTGCTGCAGACATCAGTCAATTTCTCTGTGGGTGGTGCGGCCTTCTATTTCTACACGGATACCAAGGACCAGTACCCGGAAGGCCCACATTTTTCAATGGTCTTCTACACCACGGTCCTTGGTGTCGCTGGGGCGGTGTTCTCTCTCATCGGCATCTACACGTACCAGAAGTATGCCAGTGACTGGACCTTCCGCCAGTTGCTGCTTGTCAGCAACTTGGCGCTATGTGTGCTCAGCGTGACTGACGTGGTTTTCTTCCTCCGCCTCAATGTGAAGATGGGCATCCCTGACCATGCCTTCATCCTCGGGAGTAGCGTTTTCTCAGGCATTCTCAGCCAGTGGCAGTGGATGTGGGAGCCTCAGAGTTGTGAACCATGCCAAAGCCTTGCCGAAGCCTTGCCAAAGCCTTGCCGAATCCATGAAGACAAGGAGCAGGAAGGCTTGCTAGCTGGTTTGCAAGGATTTGCCCAACTGTTGCTGAGAGAGGTTTGCACAGATCGCAGTCGGGCGTTGGGAGGGGTTGGCATGCGTGAGGTTGTGACTTCGTGACTTCGCACGTAAGGCCCGGGGTGGTGATCCTGTCGCAGCTGTGCCCGCCGGGCCTGGAGGCGACGATGTACGCGCTGCTGGCCGGGTGCCACAACCTGGGGGGCACCATCGCCAGCTCCATGGGTGCGTGGCTCCTGCAAAGCCTCGAGGTGCAGCCTTCCGGGGCCCAGAACGAGTCCGGGCAGTTCAGAAATCTCTGGGTTTGCGCCGCCATCTCCTCCGTGCTGCCCGCTTTGGTGCTCGTGTTGCTGCCTTGGTTCATCCCGGACCGGAGGCAGACGGAGAAGCTCATGCAGGAAGGGGACGCCAGTGTGACGCATGGATCCCTGTGGCGCAGATTCACGGGCCAGGACCCGGCGTTCTCGCCCGTGGGCCCTACTCCCTAGGATGAGCCGCAGTCACGCATGGCCGAACTGTCCAAAATTTGGCCCAACGGCTCTGCGCAGGCCAGTGCCGCCTGCTTGTAGCCGGGAACTGCTCGCAATCTCCCATGGCCTGACTGCAGAAAAAGGAGCTCTATGGAGCTCTTGCTTCTTGGGTGTCATCTTTGTGCAGGCGCAGGGTGCAATCAGAATGTCGAGCCCAGGCTGTTCTACGTTGCCATGACCCGCGCCAGGAATCACCTGGCCAGGGCCTTGGGGTCCAAGCGCGGAGAACCCAAACTGGCGCGGCCGAGGTGTTGTCCTTCACGGAGGAGGCGCAGCGGATGCTTGACGCTTGGGGGCTCGGGGGGCATCTTGTCCAAGGCCGAGCCTTCACGCTTTCTTTTCGAGTCGGGTGCCCTTGGAAGCTCGGCATACAAAGACTTTGCTCTTGGTTCAGTTTCCCAGTGTGGCATAAACTGCCAGTGCGTGTGCTGCCCGTAAAGCTTGTGCTTCATTGTTATTTACAGCGTCCCATTTCTCGAGTCCTGAAACACTCAGTATTTCAGCCTTTGGAGCTGCTTCGGGGCTAACATGCAAATGCGGGTTGAATCGGACTGAAGCTTGTCACCGGGTCACCGGGTTCTGGCAAAAGCAACTCGAGGCGAGAAGCGTCCAAGCGTCCCCGAAACCCAGGCTGCAGGGAACTTCAGGATGTCCGCTTGTCCGCTTGTCCTCATTCCGACCCGCAGGCCCGAGATCAGTCGAGTGCCTCGCGAGGCACGGTTGCCCCGTGTTGCCCCAGTTCGCTCAGCCAGCTGCCTGGATCCATCAGGCACGTGGATCCCCAAGGCGCTTGAAGCTGAGCGAGCACTTTGTACCAAACTCTTTGGGGAGAGCGCGCAGTGACGTAGTGTAGCACTTTGTCTGGTCTTATGGCGCAGTGTACAGCACGCTCGGCCAATGGGGCAGTGTGGCCACGTACTGGATGAAGGGACCGAATTCATAGTGCTTCGGGGAAGCAGTTTGCATGTCCACACCGGCAAGGCGACCTTTGTGAAGGAAAACGGGCGAACGCTGCGTCGAAACATTCACCTGAGAGAACCGGTGTGCGAGTTTGTGTCGGAGGCTCACATCCGTAGGCATTGGCTCAATGGCTGCGGGGAGCAAGAGCCGTGGTTGAGGTGCCTTTGCCATTCTTTGCCCGAAAGCAAAGAGTTCAGGTAAGAATCGGTACCTTATCGCTCAGCAAGATACGTGAGACGAAACGCAGAACGAGATGCGCGAGAGCACATGCCGAGCGCACATGCACTGCAAGACCGACGCATGGCAAGCCAAGCATAGCGAGAGACACAAGCATACACGATCAAGCTCGCACGAGCACACTTGCACAAGCAAACTCACGCGAACATCAGCTTCAAAAACAGGACTTCTTGTATTTTTGCGGCGATTGGCGTGGCCGATGTTAAAAGTGAGGTTTTTGCGGTTCTCGTGCGAGCTTCTGCAGGATCGGCGCGGTCGATGTGCAAAAACTGGAGTTTCTTGCAAAGCTCGGCGGCACTTGTGTGAACAACCCTCAACATTGAACAACGCACGCAAAAGCTTGAGCAGAGCAACTTGAGAGCAGAGAGCTTGTGCAGACAAGCTTGCGCAGAGCACTTGCATTCAGATAGAGATATGCAATGACGGCCGGGCTTGCATCGCTTGGGCAGGGAGTTTGCGCAAAGAACTTGCACAGAGTTCTTGGAGCAAAGATGGAGCCGAGAACTTGGGCAGAGATTGCTCAGAGAACTTAAGAAACTTGCTCACAGGAATGCCGAAGACTTGCGCAGAGAAACTTGCAGAGTTTCGCTATATGGTATGCTTTCGGGCCGCCGTTCTTCTAGTTTTTTTGCAACGTCGCCAGGGCGGGCATGGCAATTCCTGAGGCCATGGATTCAATTTGTGCGCCTTGATCTGGTATGGTGAGTGAAGGTCAACGGCAGAGGCCCAGCTGGGACCGTGCGCACCCGCTGCATCCCTAAGCATAGCGGCTCAGTGGCCCATCAGTGGCCCCAACTTCTGAGCTTTAGGCAGCGGCCTTGCAGACCTGGTGGCCGACGCAGAGATGGAGAAGGCAACGCTGTGAAGTTCTGTGAAGGGACGTGTTTCGGATGTTTTCGGATTCGGGGCGAAGCGACGAGGTGCCATCGCCGGGCCCTCCAGCCTCTGGCAGGATGCTGCGCGCCACCGGCTAAGAAGGCGAAATGCGGACAGCCTTCAGAGACTGTCTCGCGAGGTTGAAGTGCGAGGGCTGCTGCATGATTGGTGCCTCAGCTGTCATGTCAACCTCATGGCCTGCTCAGCTATGAGTCTATGAGGTTTGACGTGGCTGACATGGGGGATTTCATTCGCTCGCCGCACTTTGCCGGCACCCTGCGCCCGCAGCCCAAACGCTGACAGCTATAGTGCTAGCTGAATGCTGCACATTGGAGGCGAGAACGTGGCCAGATACTTCGGAGTGCCAATCGAGTGCCAGCCTTTCCCTGGCACGTGCGGTGGTAAAGCCACTGTGCATTCTAAAGGCGGCAGGCTATCTACGATGAAGTCGGGGCCTGGTTGGGATGTGCCAGCACTTGGAGTTGAGCTAAAGTTGCTCAGGACGGTTTGCTGACGAGCTGCGCTGATTACAGCAGATTCCTCAGGCCAACAGATGCTTCCACAGTCCGTGCTTTGAGTTTGCAGGCCGAGCACTTCAGCGAATGTACCCCAAGCTCTTCATCTATGACCTGGACGAGATGGGTTTCGCGCTGAAGTGAAGCAAGTGAGGCGGACCCGCCTTGGCCAAGGTGCCGACCTCCGAGCTCGGGCTGCCCTGCCCCCAGCCGCCATCTCTGCCATGCAGGGTTCAAAGGGTCCAAAGGGTCTAAAGGGTCTAAAGGGTCTAAAGGGTCCATTATTCGAGTTCAGAGGTGGAGGAGCTACGGCAGCTCGATGCGGATGTGGAGCAGCCGCCGCCCCGTGCGAAAAAGGCACAAGATGGCACAAGTTGCCTCGATAGCGCCGCTTCGGCCCTAGGTCCTGGCGCCAGTTTGGAGCGAACGTGCGAGAGAGAAATGAGAGAGGCTGGCAACGTTGGCAACGCGCGCGAGAGGCTGTGGTTGCGGCGCAGAGTTCCTGTGCAGTGCAGGACTCTCGCCATGCCCAACGGCCAGAGGCCCTGAGGCCGCCTCACATGTGCGTGCACACACACACACACACACACACACGCAGGTGTGCACATATAAATGGATCGCCCTCTACCCTTTGTTCAGGTTCCAGCCGCATGCTCACCAAATAAAAGGAAAACTAGAAAAATATGTCTGGCATTCGGCCATACTCCGCACTAAAAACAAGCAAGAACAGTCTAAACGCAGCATTTCTGGGAGTTCGCCCTCCTCACTAAAGGCAGGGCGAAAGTTAATGGTGTTCAGCCCGACTGCAACACACAATTTGCTTCGGCTTCTGGAGCGGTAAGCACGCCTGTCCACTTGCAGCTTCTCAGCCTGCCAAATGATTTGCAGCGCTGCACACACGCCTGCCAAATGGTGAGCACATCCGCTCAAGCGCATGCGCGTAGCACAGCGCACACGCCTGCTAAATCATAAGCACACCCATTTACGAGGGTCTGCCAGAACTGCACACATGCCCGTCACATGATAACGATGATAAACACACCCGTTCACGTGCGTCTGCGCAGGACTGCGCACGCGCGGCAGTTGTTCGCCGCCTCCAAAAACACCGCGGATCCTGGCCAACACGACACGCACTAAAAACCATCACAGTAGCATGTCTGGCTTTCATCTGAATTCTTTGGAGTGCTGCAATATTCCCACATATGTCGTGTCATGGTTGGGGGAAGATTTGCTTTTCGGGGCGTTTTGGCCCAGTGCGAATGTTGCGCAACATGTAGGCCAGCCAACATGTCAGAACAAGTTTACCCCCACCATGGCTGGAACGTGTTGTTGTGTGGTTTTGTTTTGTTTTAGCATGTTGCGCCAAATGTTCTAAATGGTGCGCAACATGCAAACCAAGCTGAGAGGCTTGGCAACATGTGCGGCTCTGTTCAGTCGCTTTTATTGTTAAGTGTTTGTGCGATCTCGGATCTTGGGTCCAGCCCAAAAATGTTAAAGTAGAAGTGATTGTGCATGAAGATGAGCATGCATCAGGCCATTTGGCTATGATCAAGTATATGAATCTGAAGCCGTGGAAAATCAAGGTCGTGCGTCATAGGTTTTGTCATGGTAGCGGAGCTGGCATCTGGTGCCGGCTCCCGTTCTGCATCTGCCAGAGGCAAGGCCTTCCTGCGCGAGCAATCTGCAGAGGTGATCATCCTGGGACACCGGAATTTGGGCATCAAACAGGTGTCGGCCAGGGTCTGCAGTTGGCAAGCAGGTATCTTTGCAATTTGGTTGTGCTTCTGGCGGTGATCTTCGATTGGTATTTGATGTCGGGTACCGGCGATGGGTCAGGCCAGTTGGGCGCACCGGACATGGCTCAGATCGCGGCAATGCTGCAGCAAATTGCACAGGAGCAAGGGAATCAGCGGCAGCGTTTAGATGATCTGGGACAAGCAGTGCAGGGGACGGGAGCGGCAGTTCATGTCGCACAGCAAGTGACGGAGCAGGTGGTGGCTGAGGTTGTACAACAAGTACAGTCGGGTTTTGCGCGTGAACAGCAGCAGCAACAAGATCAGCTGACGCAGATGATTCAGGCGCATCAGGCTACACAGACACAGCTTCAGCATATGGGTGCATCACTTGCAGACATGCAGAACCGGGTCGGCCAGGCATTTGCAAGTGCAAGCGCTGGGGCAGGTTCAGCACAGGGCCGGGCGGCATCCGGAGATTCGAGGGGGAGTCCGACAGCACAAGCAGATGGTACAGCTGGGCAAGGTACGGTGCCTCCAGCACCGCCTTTTTTGGGGCCGGTTGGAGGTGGGCCCAGATTGTACAATATCGGAGGAGGCAGCGCGGGCGCGTCGATGAGTCTGGCTGTGGCATATGCGATTCAGCAGGGAGCGGTAGACGGTCGTTCGTTGGGAAAACCAGCAATTTTCAACCCGCAGGATAGCAAGGTGTCATTTCAGGATTGGACAGATTCGGTTATTACACTGTGCGACAGCAGCATGCCGGGTGTTTACGAGGTGCTGGAAGATATTGCTCACAAGCAACCCAAGGTGAACATGGACCTCAACAGCATCAAGACCCTTTACGAGCACATGGATCAACTGCTGTTGGAGTATGCCAACACGAACGTGTATGCTATTCTTTCTACGTACACATCGGGCGAAGCAAGGAGTTTGGTCCCGACCGAACGGATTTGAAGCGTTCAGACTTTTGCAGGTGAGATTCAACCCGGTGACGGTTGGACGGCAGAGAGCTCAGTTGATCAAGATCACCAACCCGCAAGAGGGCATCTCACTGGACAAGCTGGCAGCTGAAATTGTGGCGTGGGAGAATAGGATCGTGGACTATGAGAGCCGGCCAGGAGCTGAACGAGTTTCGGATGCTATGAAAATGGCAGCCCTTGTTCACATGAGCCCCCACAAACTGCGAGAGCATCTTCAACTCAATGCTGGGCGCTACGCAGCGTTCATAGAGCTCAGGGAGGCGGTGTTCTCATATTTGGATCAGGTGGCGCCGGTTGCACAAGCAGCCATGGACATCGGATCTGTCGGTGTGGGGAAAGGCGGAGGATGCTTTTTGTGTGGCGGTCCGCATTTGATGAAGGACTGCAAGGGCAAGGGCAAAGGCAAGAAAGGTGGAGGAGACAAAGGTAAGGGAGGCAAAGATCATGGCAAAAAGGGGAAATTCAAAGGAGGTGGAAAAGACTTTGGCAAATCCAAAGGTGCTGGGAAAAAGGGGAAAGATGCGGTTTGCCACAACTGTGGGAAACCGGGGCATTTCAAGGATCAGTGCTGGTCAAAGCCCAAAGGTTTGAATGCGGTGGAGCAGAAGCAAGACCCCCGTCTTTCTCAGTTACAGTCAGCATATGCCAAAGCAGCTGCAGAAGAGTTCCAACGTATGACAACTGCAGCACCGACTTTGACAGCTCCCACATCACCTGTGTCTCCGGCATCAGTTCGCAGTGCAGGCACAGGATCAGCGCAAGCGAGTGGCAACCCGGTGCAGATGGGCAGTTTGGTGGTCAAACATTTGTGTGCGCTTTCTAGGAGGTGGTGCAATCAGGGCAATTGGGGGACTACCGCGACATCTGCCTATGGTGATGAGTATGTAGGGACGCGTGATATTCTGGTCACTCTGGATAGTGGTGCGGCGGCATCCGTTTGTCCTGCAAATCGCCGGACCCAGGTATGAATTTTCTTTCAGCCAATGGTGAGATGGTTCCTGAGCTGTGGAAGGTGAGCCCACTGGTGATTACGGAGGAGGAGCAGATTCGGACCACGCAGTTTTCCGTGGCGGAGGTTCACAAGCCTTTGATGTCAGCAGCTCAGGTGGCGAACAAAGGACACCGTATTGTGCTTGAGGCAGCAGACAAGGAGAGCTACATTGAGGATGTGGTGACAGGTGAGCGCATGAGGCTGTATCAGCATGAGGGTGTCTATGTGCAACGGCTGAAGGTGGTGGATGGTCAGGACGCGGGTTTTGGCGGGCAGGCAGGTCGGGCGGAAGCCGAGAGCATGTGAGAAGAGGTGAGCCCAGCAGTGCTGTAAGTCCCGGTGCAAATATTTGTGCAGCGCAAGCCGAGGGCGGTGGACAGTTATCTGCAGAGGGCCGAGACGATGAAGAGGACAATCGGAGTACCTTGTATCAACCCACTGAGCGAGGTGATGACGATGGTGAAGATCTGTTGCTACATTTTGCAGAATTGGGTGATGCAGCAGATGAGTTTCCCGGTGATGGAGGTGGAATGCATGAGGAATTTGAGGAGGACTTGGTTCGGCTGGGACAAAAGACGCCCATCAAGCCAAGCGCAGAAGAAGTACGGCAACACTACATCAGTCATGTTCCTTATCGGGCATGGTGCCCCCACTGCACGAGAGGTAAAGGTAGATCTTTGCAGCATTCGATGAAATCTGCGAAGGACAAGAAAGACGAGAGAGTGAGACCAAGGGTGAGCATGGATTATTTCTACCTCACCAAGAAGAATCCAAACAAGGAGGAGGATGCGTTACCACTTCTAGAATTTTGGATGAGCCGTCGATGAGGATGTTCTCAGTGGCATTACCAAGCAAGGGTGTGGAGCACCAGTACAATGTGACAGTTGTGACGAAGCTGGTGAAATATCTGGGTCGTACAGATGCCAACCTCGCCGTGTTCAAGTCGGACACGGAGCGGTCATTAGTTGCTCTGAGAAATGCGGTGCAACTTCGTGTTCCTGGAGTTGGGTGTGAAGATGCAGTGAAAGGTGAGTCGCAGACCAATGGGCCTATAGAGTCTGCGGTTGGGCGATTACAAGGACAAGCTCGCACTTTGAAGAGCTGCTTGGAGTCGCGGTATCAGATGAGGTTTTCGCCGAGGCATCCTATACTTTGCTGGTTGGTCGATTACTGTGGAACGCTTCTGTCCAGGTTTCAAAGGGGGCCAGACGGTTTCACGGGCTATGAAAGGTCGACCGGGAAACGGTGGAGGATTGCGCTTCCTGAATTTGGCGAGTGTGTCTTTTACGAGCCGGTGAAGGGTGAAAGGGATGCGAGCAAGTTGGACGCGAAGTTTGAGCCGGGGATCTTTCTGGGTTTTCAAGAAGGATCGGGTATGAGGTGGATTGGCACGCCGGACGGTGTGGTCCGCACTTGTGGTGGAGAAGTTCGTCGGATTGCCTTGGCAGTTGAAACCACGGATTGGCTTGCAAGCGGATATGAGAAACTTTTCACCTGCAGATATCGAGATCGAGGTTCCCGATGTTGGTGCAGGTGATGGAGACGAGCTGAAAGAGGTTGCAGTGGAAGAGGAGAAGAAGAAGTATGTTCCTCGAGGCATCTACATACGGAGAGATGTGGAGCTTGAGGCCTATGGCTACACGGAGGGCTGCGACGGTTGTGAAGCTGCCAAGCACGGTCTATCTCACAAGCAACATAGCCGTGCATGCAAGGAGAGGATCTCAGGTGAGATGCGCAAGACAGAGGAAGGTAAGAAGAGAGTTGAGAAGGTGCGCGCACGAGAGGAGAAGTATATGGTGGCGGTGCGTGAGAAAGAAGAGGCGAAGAA